CTTTATGCTCACTATATTTCTTTATAATATCTATAAAAACAAAAAACTTTAAATAATAACATAAAAAATCTCCTGTAAAAAAGTAATAATTGTTTCTATAAAACAATTACTTTGCATATATTTTCAAACTCAAGCTGTTTACAAAAAAACTTAAAGAGATATGAAAATAATCAAGGTTAAGAAACATACTTATCAACATGATTAACGTACTACGTAGTAGTACTACGTATACGTAGTAGTTAATCATTACGTATGTTTCTGATATTAAAATCTGGATGATGAATGGTTCTCTTTTGCGCAGTCTATATTACTCATATTAAGTAATCATGGTTATTATCTCTATGCTAATCTTCATCCGGAGATCTCTTAGTGAAATTAAAGTTGTTTTGAGTTGTACTAGGCTAGTATAACTCTCACACTCATAGTTTTGTGCTCTCCAAATAACTGAATTTAAAGAAATGAAGAATTCTTTGAAATTTATTTCAACATTTTTTTTATTATAATCTTTTTGTTGTTATTATTAATAAATATTGTTTTGGTACAATGCTGACACAATTTAGCGCACACAACCTAGTATAATTGTTAAAATTTCAAAAGTCGAAAAGTAATAGACTAACCAAAAACATTATTTCTTTTTTATTTTTTAATATATTTTTCAAATTTTAATTTTATTATTCTGGCACAATAACATCAATCTAATACAATTTATCACAACTATTAAATTTTGATTATTTAAAAAGTGGTGGACTAACTTCATAATTGAGACGATTTATCCGGTACAATAACTTAATTCTTTGAGGAATACATTTTTTATACTGGACGAATTTTTATGAATACTGGTGTTTTTACATTTTTCGAGTCACTTGATTACGAATCTAATATCCAATTTCTAAAATTCGAAATAATGAACATAATATGGTGGATCAGTTTCTTATAAAAATATTTATTTTCTATGAAATTACATATATAGAATTTTTTAGATCGCCGATTATGAATATAAAATTCAATTTTCAAGGTTCAAAGTGGCGGATGTAATATAGCGGAAAATTTGACTATAAATTCGTAATCGGTGACCCAAGAAACTCCTATTTCAGCGAAATTAAATATGTTTATAAAAATTTGGTCGATATTATTAAATCCACTTTTTCAAATTCTGTTTTTTTTACTTTGTTTTTTCTCTTTATAAACATTGGTGTTCTGATAAAAAAAAGTCTTTTTCGTAGCATGTTCTATTATTTAGACACGGTATATATATATAATGAAATTTACTTATATCAATATTTTATTTGCTGGTTATATGAAACTCGGACACTTTATCCCATTCTTCTGATTTCACCTTAACGCGGGCAATACTGAATAGTTTCAGCTAATTAATAATAATAATAATAGTAATAATTCACTAACGTTTAACTTACTATTTATTGGCGCAAAAAAGTATCCAGATTGTACGTTAAAATAGAACTATGAATATTATAGAGCACTAATTTATTTTTCCCTCGTTGTTCTCGATTGCTCTAATTTGTTGTTACATTCGGCTTATTTAAGTACAGCAACGGTATAATATACTATAAAGAATGAGAACCGTAACAACGTACATTATCTATGTATCATTATTTATAATATATTTACATTTTCTACAGAAAATCTATGGTTGCTTTTGCGTGACATCGCGGACAGATATTATCCCATTGCTAAAATATGGAGTTTCTTTACGCCTGCCATAACTATTCGTCATCCAGATGATCTCGAGGTATTTAAGTGCAAAGAAAGATATAACGACATAAAAAAAATACAGCATATTTACAAGGTCTCCGAGACTGTTCTCCGTAATTTTTGTGATTCTTGAAATTTATTGCGAATATCGCAAAACAATATGAGACTTTTATGTTTATCTCAATTCGTTCTATGATCGCACAAAAATTGCTCTAGGATACCTTGTATCCTATATGTATAGTCTATATGTATAGAAAATTATTCCTAAAATGACTACATATCGTTGAGCTTGCAATTCAGAAACATTTTGTATTGTTATTTACATGCCATTGTATTTTTTGTTTCGTATATGAAGCGGAAAATGTTAACTTTCTAAAATATAATTCTTCAGAAATGAGGCGGTGCTTTAAATTGTTGATAAAATGATTAATTATTTAGTTGTATGTGAATTTCAATGTTATAATGAACTGATATTACAGACAATCTTCTCCTGTGATTTCAGGCAATATTAAACAATACGAAGCATATCGAGAAAAGCATGATATATCAAGTTTTGCATCCTTGGTTAAACACCGGGCTTCTTACTAGCGCGGGTAACATAATAAAATTCTTATGATAATCGTATACGTACGCTTTATATCATTGAAAACCATGGACGTGACGATATGGATTGTAACGATATGAATATGATTAATCAAAATAGCGGTAGCCGTCCCTACGTATGTGGCATTCGTTCTCTCGCAATTAAATTCACTCCCTAACAAAGATATAGCAATAAACACATAGAAGTATTCGAAAATAAATTTAGCATCAGTATCAATTAATTTCTTTTGAACTTATAATTTTCTGAGAACATCATAAGAACGTCTTAAGTAATTCCTATGTCTTATAAAAAAGCTTTTAGATTTTTTAAATAAAGTACCGGTTTCTCATAGCACAAGAAAGATTGCTGCAATATTGTGGCAACATTTCATTCCAATATTGTAAATATTTATTTTTTGCCAGAAAATATTCCTCGCATTTATGAGTTTACGAAACATGTATATTTTAAAAACTAATCACATAAAAATTAATTAAATAATAAACTGAAAGAGAGTTAAGGTTGCTAATTACATGCAAAAATTATTGGTATTGTTCTTCTTCAATTTCTTTTACTTGGTATTATTTTCCTCATTTCACGATATTATCGCGATAATATTCGAGTTACAAACGATTCAAGAAATAATATAAATCATAATCTTATTTTTATTTTAGGTCCCAAATGGCATTTACGACGGAAGATACTAACACCTACATTCCATTTCAATATACTGCAACAGTTCATTGATATTATGTTGGAGGAGAGTGAACGTATGACGCACAAATTAAAGAACATTGGCGGCATGGTTGAAATAGATATAATACCGTTTGTTTGTGAACACACACTAAACGCAATATGCGGTAAGTCATCATATATTTATAATTGTATAGAGAGCTTATTTATTATATACCTAAAAGTTGTCTGCATTTGCAGAAACTGCCATGGGCACTTCTCTGCACAGTCTCGGTGCGGCCCAAGAAAAATATCGACACGACGTTCGTCAAATGAGTCAACTTTCTATTTATAGGTAATTAATAATTGCAGTATTAGCCTGATAATTTGTAGCGAAAATAAAAAGTTATAGGAAAAAGGATACGACAAACATACATCTTTTGACATATTCAATTTTAAATTTTATTTATTTATTATTTATTTAAATATTTGCGTCACACGTGATTATTCAGAGGCTATTAATATCATTATTTTCTCAGATTTATTTTTGTATAATTTTATATAATTATTCTGTTTAGATTATTTAGGCCCTGGTTACATTACGACCTGATATACGCGTTAACGTCCGCGGGCAGACTGCAAAAGAAGACACTAAAAAACTTGCACGAATTCACTGAAAAAGTGCGTGAGAACCAAGTTATTTAGCATTCCATCAGCTCCTTAATTCCAAAATTAAACGATAACATTTTATACAAGTACTGATAAGAAATATTAAAATATTAAGGAAATAGCACAATAATACGAGCCGCAAAATAAATTAATGTTTTCTTTTCCGTTTCCATCATTTTTTTAGATCATTACCGAAAGAAAACTTTATCACGAACGCACAAACAATAAATATTTGCATGATTTAGCAAATGACGATGCGATGGAAACAGATGACGTAAAAATACATGGATGTACGTAACTCAAATTTATTCTTTATCTTCATTTCTATATCGTAAAAATATAATTTCAACTGAATAGTCTAAAGTGTGAAAGTGATTTATTACTTGAGATCGCTTTAAAGTTTTTAACTAAATCATTGTGGCTTAATGTAAGTATATGAAAAAGTCACAAGTGTAACATAACAAGTATATTAGAAGATAGACGTCAATTACAATTTATAATCTTTCATTTCATTCAGCTCGAAAAAAGCGACTTGCCATGTTGGATCTTTTAATAGCAGCCTCGCAAGAAAATCATTTGAGTGATTTAGATATCAGAGAGGAAGTGGATACCTTCATGTTCGAAGTAGGTATATCCGTAAGCTTTTCTTCAACAGCTTGATATATTATACAGAGATATATCTAAAAAATTTTGTTATGAATCAATGCGTTTGGTCAATGAAACGAAACTTGTACTGATTAAACTTGTTTGGTTATTTTAAGAGTCTACATAAATCATAGTGCTGACTCTGAGAACCGCGAAATAGATAAAAGCATTTTACGTTTTAGCAACTTAAAAGCAACTTAAAAAGAGAATAATATTATAATTATGATGTTCACAACCTTAGATACTTAAATGTTTTAACTGACCAGAAGAATATTTCATTACAAAAATCAGGAAATCTGTTTATTTCAATCAAATCTTGTTTAACTAAACTTTAATCAAATCGTAATATTTTTTTTTACATATATCTAATATACAAACTGATTATAGGGTCATGACACAACAGCAATGGCTATATGCTTCACTTTGTTATTGTTAGCTGAGCACCAGGATATTCAGGTTAAAAGTTATAAGTTATATGTTCAAAGAAACAACTTATTTAATCCTGTTAAATCATTAAATAATGTTAATTAGTTTCTATTGAAACAGCAGAAATATTTACTACTCGGCGAAATATATTTTTTTTGTATACCAATTGAAATTAATCAAACGAATGAAATTAAAGAGAAACAAGCTTATAATAAAATAATAAAGTAAACATAAATATATACACTTGTAGATATTTGCTGAAATTATTTCTTTGCGTGTATATAAAATATCACGAAACAGTGAGACATACAATTTTAATTAAAATCGATGATACAGGATCGCATCAGGGATGAGGTCAATATAGTGATGGAACAGTTTGAGGAGAAATTGACTATGACGGCCCTGCACAATCTATCGTACTTAGAAAGATGTTTGAAGGAATCGTTGCGGCTATATCCCAGCGTGCATTTCATATCACGAGACGCAGCGGAGGATGTGAAATTATGTAGTAACAACAAAACAAATTTTTATAAATATATAAATATATTTCAGATTTAGTGTTTCGAAATCTATGCAATTAAATCGGAATTATATCCATGAGTAATATAAGAACATATTTTTTTAAATATATAGGCATTATCAAAATATTTTTAATTATCATTCATAAATCACATCTAATTATGCAATACACTTTACAGATTCGTATGTAATACCCGCTGGAACAATTGTACATCTCAATATCTATGATGTTCATAGAGATCCCAATTTCTGGCCGAATCCCAATGTATTTGATCCAGACAGATTTTTGCCTGAAAAAATACAAAGGCGTCATCCTTATTCGTACCTACCATTCAGCGCGGGACCACGGAATTGTATTGGTAAGCTAGCGTGATGTTCACAGGTCTATGTATGGACAGTTTTTAATACAAGAATTATGCTTGACAGGTCAACGATTCGCTATGTTGGAAATGAAGGCCATGATATCTACTCTCGTGCGCAACTTTTACTTGGAACCAATTAATTATCTAAAAGACGTGCAGATAACTGCTGATCTAATACTTCGACCTAATCACCCGCTGAATGTAAGATTTGTCCCAATAGAAGACATTTGAAGTAAACGCGGATTCTTTGAGTGTAAGAAGCGAATGCGAATATGTCGCAAAAATGTAAGAATTGTCGATTTAATAAGTACACACATACTGACACACACAATTTTAGTGACCATTACAGTTTAATTGTATGAGTTTAACATTATAATATTAATATCATATTTCACCGTCGATGAATGGGCGAATGCACCGATTTGAAACATATTATATTATGATATGTAAGAGATACCGTCCCAGGTAGCAAGGTGACATCTAAAGACGTCATTATGATGTCATTAAGACGTCATAGAAGTCTTAATGATGTCTAAATGACGTCTTTAGACGTCACCTTGCTACCTGGGATAGATGTTGACAGATTGTTAACGATGTTGTCGGTATTATATTTAAGATGAATTGATATATTGATATATTGACTCGTTCTGAGTATGACATAAGATAGATAACATTCAGGCCGACATCTTCATAATATCTTCCAAGTATTGTGGTAATGTCTTAGAAATATCAATCGCTAATTTCCACATGATTTTGATTGGATTTCGATATTATTTCGATCTGAATTTTTATGAACACTTGAATTCGGGTTTTGCTTGATGATAGTAACGTATTAGTTAATTGACAAATTTAATTTAATTATTTTTTCTGTTCTTGATAAATACTATTTTATTATTTTATTGTATTTTTCTCCATATATCCTATATCTAAGATCTATATTTAAGCTGCTTTTTATAAGAATATTGTTTACACACCAATTTAGATATTTGTGTGTGTGTGTGTGTGTGTGTTCAAAATATTTCTTTATAACTAAAAAATATTTCTTTATCTAAAAAAAAATTTAAAAACCCTCCAAATATATAAAAATTTCCTTTAAAAAAAAGAGTAATGTTCTTATGAAACAACCAATTTGCATAAATATACCTTTAAACTCAAGTTGTATACAGAAAAACGTTATAAGAATTATCAGGATTATAAATATAGTACTACATAGTATAATATGGTTTCAAATGTCGCTTAGATGTACACGTAGTATCTAATAAGTACTTCTAGAAATATTTATAAATATAACGCAAGTGTTTCGTAATTTGACTTTTTTACACCGTTAATTTATCAGGTATAAAACATGTTGTGCAAATATGCTAATATAATTGGTATATAATTGGTATATATTTGCATATTGATGTATAACGTGAAGAAAAAAAACGTTTAAAGTTCACGTTTATTTAAAACACGTTTATGTAATAAATATACAATGTGTGATGTATTAAATATAATATTTTAATGTGTTTAGGTATAGTATTATAATACGTTATAAATGTCGCTTAGATGCATATGTAGTGCCTTTAAGTACTTCTAAGAATACCTACAAGCATGACGAAAGCATTTCATAATCCGGTTTTTTCGTATCCGTTAATTATACGATCAATTTGTTCGTAATAATAAATCCGCGCAATAGCTCGAGTGCTCTTCTTGATACACGCTTTCTCTCTCGTTCTTTTATTCGATATAAAATTAATATCTTGATGATTTTTGCGAATATCATAAAACGGTATAACTTATAACACATCGGTCAATAAGTCCCCGGTCTGACATATAGAGAGCGCCTCTAACACAAAAAGTGCAGCTTGGTTCGAAAGAACAGACCCTTTTAGGCATACTGTGAAATGTTTATGTCATTAGGATCATTATTGTGTGAGTTAGTGAAGCTTTAGTGACGCTACTTTTGTTATTTTCAGAACAATGGAAAAAAAAGAATTTCGTGTGCTCATTAAACACTGCTTTTTGATGGGAAAAAATACCGTTGAAGCAAAACAGTGGTTGGACAAACATTATGGCACCTCTGCCCCAGGCAAATCAACAATCATCGACTGGTATGCTGATT